GTCAGTGTGTGTGCTGCTTGTGTTACTATACGGAGCTGTATTTCTCCCTTCTGCAAGCCCTCACCCCCAGTGGAGCTATCTTGCAGGACTCAATCTCAATGGGACTGGGTTCCTCCAGTCACCAAATCAGTCATACACACAAACACACACAAATTAACGTGACACGCCTGACCTGGCCGGGCTGATCAGCATGGACAGGCTGACACCCTCATATGCCAAGAATCAGTTCATAAGAGCAACAATAAAATGCAGTCAGACACAAGCACACAGGTAAACAGAATCCCTCTGAATCCGGCTGGGTGTCCAGCTGACACCCTCATGGGCCAGCATTCAGTTCATAAGGGCACGTCTGAGTCAAACTGGGTCAATCAGCCTGTACAAGCTGATCCCCTTATGTGCTTCAAACTCAGCACATCCCAATCTTTGGCCTCTTGATGAGCAGACCCCACAATAATTTGGGCTTCACAGGGATCTTTAGCATAGGTAAAAGAAGCGTTGCTGCAGAGCACGGGAGGAAAGAGAAGCAGAGAAGGAAAAATATACCCAATTACTACCAGTTTGACTATAAAAGTTATTTATTGCTAAGCATATGAAATATATAATAGTACTAGTAGTAATAGACATGCAAAAGAAAAACAAACACCAACAATGACAATACTACCCTGGTTTCACTAAGTATTTGGGGAAACTTAGCTCAAGCTTAACTGATACAGTTCAGGTTCAGAAGTTTATGCCTAGAAAGAAGACAGAGAACGCTGGGATCTCACCTAGTCCACGGTACTCAGGCTGCAAAGCTGACAGGCACAGTCTGTAGCACAGTCCTTGAAGGGAGAGATGATCTGTTCTTCCAGCGTCCCAAGAACGACAGGGGATGGTGTCAGCACAGGGGTTTTCTTCTTCTCCTTCTTTCCTCCTGCTTCTACTTCTTTTCCTTCCTTTTCCTCTTCCTCTTCTCCCTCTAGCAGCACACACACTTACAGATTTTTATACCCTCAGTTTAGCTGCTTCGAAGCACCCTCAGTAGTGTAAATCATTGTCTTTTCTATTGACAAGGGGTTATCTGGTTTGGACCATCTCAGGAAACTGATTGATAATCAGGAAACACTTAAGATTAGGGAGTAACCCAAATACTTGGGAGCCAGCTTGAAATTCCTATGGGTGGCAGATATACTGATGGGATATCTCATGGTTTCTTCAGGAACAATAGATAGCTTGCAGCATCAGGATTTTGGATTTTTACTTGTTGTGCACAAGCCTCAGCTTAGCATGACTTTTCCAGATCTTACTATAGTCTTTTAACAGACTTAAGACAATTATTGGGGTGCTCATAACCTTTTGTGGAGAGGACTCCCACCAGTCGTCTCGGGAAAGATATGACAACACCTGGGATTAGGGCTCCAGCAGGCTGGATGCTGTGATGAACCCTTAACCATTGTTCAAATGTTGCCCATACCCCCTCTGACTCGGTCTCTTGCCTCAGCATTCCCTAACCCGGCAACCGAGTTTTAGTCAATCAAGTTTAAATAGGCCTCCCATAGTGGGACCGGGGAATGTACGGCCCGAGATGCCTATTAAACTTAGAGCTGTGTGTGTGTGTCTGGGGGGGAAAAGTCCTTAGTAAATCCAGATTAGAACTGGTCTGATAAATGCTGAGCTGGGTGTGTGTGAACATGGGTTGATTAACATTGGAAGCACAGATTCCCCATCATGCAGCGCTCTCCTGCTTCTCTGGTCCCAGAATTCACTGCAGTCTCTGCTTCAGGCTTTCTGTTTTCCATCTCTCATGTAAATGAGACCTAGGGCAGTTGATTCACTCGTCACCCTTATCTGGTGAGGGTCTTAGGTGCGTCTCTCACTGCATCTTAATCAGTTTCGTTTAGGTAGAGGAGGGGAGGGGGGTGAGTCCTTTGTGAGTCAGACAGACTGCATCCTGTACCAGGGTTGCCCAAGAATACAGAGCTGAGACGTAACAGCACGTCACCTCTCTCACAAGCCCGCCTGGGCTTCCAGCACCTCGCACACTGAGGCAAGGTCAGTTTATATACCGGACACACACAAATCCTAACTTTTTTTTTTTACAGAAATATGGGGTCAACTTAAACAATGTACCAACCTATACCCTGTAAAATACAGCACGTGTTTTGAACCTATGCAACATTACTGACTTTGCTTAAGGTATACTGGATTTCCATTGTCAGAGAGGGGACTCTTTTTCTAGTTTTGACATACATTGCAACCTCATAACAAACTCCTTCGGGACTGTGAGAAAGGTCCATTAAATAAAAGGGTGTTTGCTATAATAGAATTAGTCAACTTGCTGATGAAATGATGAAAAGAACTTGTTCCTGCTGTTGGGCTTAGAAGCAGGGGTCTTGTAGCAGGCTACAGGTTTGCTGGGGCTATAGCCCAGTATAACAGGCTGCATATACCAGGCTGTAGCAGGCTGCATACCTCAGGGGCTGCACAACAGTTGCGGACACTGACTTGGTGATTGCAGGCCAGCTTGGAGGAGTGGGTCAGCTGCTAAGAAAAATTGGCTGGCCAAAGGAAGTTAAAAGCTCCCAGGGAGTGGAGCTAGAGAGAACAGGGGGAATTGAGTGAGAGCTCTCAGGCTGGTGGCTGCCAGGGTACTCTCTTGGGATCTGGAAAAGACCCCAGCAGAGTAAGACAGAGCAAGGAGACAGAGAGAAGACTTGGAGGTTAGGGGCTGCAGTGGTTCTCTTAGGGTTTTTGGGGGAGAGACCACACGGTAAGAGAGAAGGCTACAAGGCTAGAAGCAGCAGAGTGAGCAGGAAAACCCTCTCGGGGTCTGGAAAAAGAGCCTAGGTTTGTGAGTTAATCTTTACTGACTATGTACATGCTTGCTTGCTGATTACTGATTAGTGTCTTACGCTGTCATCTTTGGGGCAAGGATGCCTTCAACAATATAGGCTGTGTAAACTGAGCTAACCTGCTACAGGTCTCTTATAAACAGGGTTCATTATAAAGTTATACTATGGATGAAAATTAAGCACAAACACAGCGATACAACCCATACATGCTTCAGAGGTGTCACAGATTTGCAGAGGAAAAGGAAAGCTCTCCAGCTGATAAGGTATTTAGTTATGGTCAAATGCTGGTAATATGGTCATAAGGGAGATGACCCAATTCCATAACCCTTACTCACTAAGTGGTGCATAGTCATCAGCATAGTCTTACTGAGGTCCTTGAACTCTTTCTTCAGTAAATTTACTGCAGACTCTCTCTGCCATGTGTCCTAGGCTCAATTAATTTTGTATACAAACCATATGTAATGGCTTGTGCCACATGAGTTCTGCCTGTGGCATCACTTACACTAGTGAATGACTTCAGTGTTACTACTTATAGGAGAAAGGAATAGTTTGTCCCAAGAGTTGAAGGCAAAATTGAATCCCAGATGGGTTTAAGTACTTTTGCTGGATCAGAACCTTAATGAAGAGAGTATGGAAGAAAAAAATTCTTACATTTTATTCCGCGACATGGTGTTTTTTTTTTGCAACCATTTTTTAATTTTAAATTAGATCATCAGCTTATTATTGTTGCACTTCCTTTTTCACTGTCTTTTGCTGCTTCCCTGATTCTTAGATCTAAGTATCTGTTAGGTTAGTGTTAGTCTCAAATCAGTAGCATGTGTACCCGAGCCAACCAAGATGTGGACAAAAATGGTACACTTTTCTGTGTAAAAAATAATAACAAAATATGATTGCTCCTGTGTGTGTGTGTGTGTGTGTATAAAAACACACCTGTGTCATCACAAACTTACCATTCCCCCTAAAATACCTTGCATTGTTCTGAATAGGTTACCTCTTGAACTGGAAGTCTTGTAGCTACACTTTCAGTGCACTGTGCCTAGGCTAGTAACTCTCTCTCTTGCTTAGAGGAGCAAAATGTTAATTAGCTTACAAAATTGACTAAATGATTAAATTACTATTATTATTTGACCAGCTGTAATAGCCACAGATGTTTGTGTAACCTTGATGTCCTTGATTTAAAAGACCTCTTACCACAAGATTTAGAGGACATAATGTATCCCAGTCTTAGGTTGATTTTTCTCTATAAGTGAGATAAGCCATGATGGCAATTGGCTGTATCAAAGCTACTTCTTCATTAAAATTTACACTAATATAGAATACACATGAATATGAATATCAGTAAAATCATATACATGTGTACGCACTGGGCTGCCCTGCTTGATATGTCAGGTTTCTATTTAGCTCTCTCAAGCAAAACTGCTTAGGCTGCTTACAGATATTAACAACAACAACAAAAAAAAGGGTGCTTTACTTTAAATTTGTTGTGCCCTCACACTGAACCCAGTGCATGCCCAGAAGAGGCAGTGTATTAGTTGGACATGGCTTGCCCAATGTCTGTATACATTGGGTGCCTTAGTGGGGTATATTGGCACTTGTATCTACTAACTGATTGAATCAGTTATTAAATAAAAGCACCAAGAAGCCCCGCTGAAGTGTCTGATCTATACAAGTCCTGCAGAGCTGGGCTGAACTAACTCACTGCTTCTTCTGGTAAAGTGTTTTGTTTGTTTTTTTTAAACATCTGTAAGCAGTCTCTGTGGCTGTTTCATTCTAGTATTTTCTGGCCAAACCCCCCCAGGGAAACCAATTTAAGGGATCATCTTGAAAATATAAATGATTATAATGGCTATATTTGCCCATAACATAAAAAAAAATCATATGATAAATCTAATGCAAGAAGTAGTACAGCCAGTAAGTATGGCAAAATCCAAAAAGCCAAGGTGTTTCTAAGGTTAGATACTGATTTTGGTTTACTTAAGGGAATATAGATACAGAAATAAATGCACAGGAAAAGCATCCACAAAGCATATAGCATAAATTTTGTTTTTATTTACTAATCTTTACAAAAGATGAGTAGTGCACAAGTATACCAATGCTAAAATTCCCTAAAAAAAAATCTTTTTGAAATGCGTGTCTTCGGAAGACATGGTCTTGCAAGCTATCGTGTGGTGGAAATAAGAAAAATCAGATTTTTCATCACATCCTTGTCTCCTCCAGTGGTCGATTCATAAAGTCTTGAATGGCCTGGTGTAGGGGCAACCATTTGTTAATAGAGGCTTTCAAAGCTGTAACCCATCTGAAAGAAAGGAGGACCAACAACTGTGAGTAAGTGTTTTATCTGCACTGGGAAAGAAGACTTCTTTTGTAAGGGGTCTTTCTAAATGTGTTGTACACTTACATCACTATAAATGATAGTAGTAAGTAGACTAGAGAAGTCTGCGAAGGGAGGAGCTTGACTGGAAAGGTAAAATCTGAACACAAGTTTTCAAGCCATTAAATAGCTTTTTGGTGGGGGTTTTTTTGCCTACTGCACTAAAATCCAAACCCTATAATTCAGTCTTTTGCTCATTCAGAACTCCCATTGACCTCATTGACATTTTTGTTGTACTGAGATGACCAATATCATAGACCTAAGTGATTTAATGGATTACTTTTTCTTTTTTAATTATAATAATCTGTGTTGGGAGTAATTCACCCTTGAGAAACATGAGTATCTACTTTTGATGTACTTTGGCCTTCCCTCATGAAAATTGCTAGAGTTCTTCCATTGAGTCTAACCACCCACTTGTTGTTATGAAAGGTACTTTAACAAGGTTCCTTCTTGAACCTCCACAATCCAGCCTTGCTATATCTTCCGCAATGACAATAACAGCATCAATGACTCATATGCCAGCATATTGTGCTGCAGTATGACTAAAACTAGATTAAGAAGTATGAGCAAGGAGATGACATCAAAGTGGAAAGTTATCATCAATTGTTCCAGAACTGTAGGATTTTTACTTGCTCAAAAAGTTTGGCAAAGAGAACAGAAAGAGCTCAAATTACCGTTTGTTTTCATTTACGTTCTCTGCACATAGGTGGAAGGTTTTAAATTCTTCGGAGGGAGGTTTCATTTCAATTACAGATCTCCTGGAGCCCAGAGACTGTTCGCTCACAGTATAACCCTGCAGGTAAATCCCACCTGGACAAAGGGAAATGGCACAAACAGGGATTAGCAGGAATACCATTTTTACTGCAAACTGTGAAGGTGCCACTACCTCTTCTGCTGTGCAGTGGGAAAGATTTTATAATGCCTTTTTAGAGAGAGGTGATTTTGATATCGTGCATCACAGAATCAAAATATGCATACTCAAATACATATGCACTATTTTTAATATAGGCAATGTACGGAAAAAATATCATTACCATGCGGCTTTACACTGAAAAATGAATAGAAAATGGCATTGTGGGAACCCATATTTTTATTTATATAAGATTTCCAGATGAAATATGCTCAGTTTACAAATAAACACACACACATCCATATCTATATATATCTATATACAGTACATAGATACAGGTATGGTTATGGGTATGCGTGTGTGTGTGTTTGTAAACTGAGCATATTTCAGCTGGAAATCTTTATTTGTGTGTGTGTGTGTATATAGTGTGTGTGTGTGTGTGTGTGTATAGAGTGTGTGTGTGTGTATATTGTGTGTGTGTGTATATAGTGTGTGTGTGTGGTGTGTGTGTAGAGTCTGTGTGTGTGTGCGTGTGGTGTGGTGTGTGCATGTGGTGTGTGTAGACGTGTGTAGTGTGTGTGGGGTGTGTGTGTAGTGTGTGTGTGGGGTGTGTGTAGTGTGTGTATATTTGTGTGTAGACGTGTGTGTAGTGTGTGTGTAGTATATGTGTGTGTAGTGTGAGTATATTTCTGTGTGTGTAGACGTGTGTGTAGTATATGTGTGTGTAGTGTGTGTGTGTGTACTATATGTGTGTGTAGATGTGTGTGTAGTGTGTGTGTGTAGTATATATGTGTGTAGACGTGTGTGTAGTGTGTGTGGTGTGTGTATAGTATATGTGTGTAGACGTGTGTGGTGTGTGTGTGGTGTGTGTGTAGTATATGTGTGCGTAGTGTGTGTAGACGTGTGTGTAGTGTGTAGACATGTGTGTGTGGTGTGTGTGTATGTGTGTGTGTAGACATGTGTGGTGTGTGTGTGTTTCTAGTGTGTGTGTGGTGTGTGTGTAGTGTGTGTGTGTATATATATGTGTGTGTATATATATATGTGTGTGTAGTGTGTGTCTAGTGTGTGTGTATATGTGTGTAGTGTGTGTGTCTAGTGTGTGTATATGTGTGTGTAGTGTGTCTAGTGTGTGTGTGTCTAGTGTGTGTGTATATGTGTGTAGTGTGTGTGTCTAGTGTGTGTATATGTGTGTGTAGTGTGTCTAGTGTGTGTGTGTCTAGTGTGTGTGTATATGTGTGTAGTGTGTGTGTCTAGTGTGTGTATATGTGTGTGTAGTGTGTCTAGTGTGTGTGTGTCTAGTGTGTGTGTATATGTGTGTAGTGTGTGTGTCTAGTGTGTGTATATGTGTGTGTAGTGTGTCTAGTGTGTGTGTGTCTAGTGTGTGTGTATATGTGTGTAGTGTGTGTGTGTGTGTAGTGTGTGTCTAGTGTGTGTAGTGTGTGTGTGTAGTATATGTGTGTAGTGTGTGTATATTTCTGTGTGTAGACGTGTGTGTAGTATATGTGTGTGTAGACGTGTGTGTAGTGTGTGTGGTGTGTGTGTAGTATATGTGTGTAGACGTGTGTGTAGTGTGTGTGGTGTGTGTGTAGTATATGTGTGCGTAGTGTGTGTAGACGTGTGTGTAGTGTGTAGACGTGTGTGTAGTGTGTGTGTGTGGTGTGTGTATATGTGTGTGTGGTGTGTGTGTGTTTCTAGTGTGTGTGTGTAGTGTGTGTGTATATATATGTGAGTGCAGTGTGTGTGTGTGTATATATATGTGTGTGTATATATGTGTCTAGTGTGTGTGTATATGTGTGTGTAGTGTGTGTGTATACATGTGTGTGTGTAGTGTGTGTATATACGTGTGTGTAGTGTGTGTGTAGTGTGTGTATGTGTAGTGTGTGTATATGTGTGTGTACATACGTGTGTGTGTACTGTGCATGTGTGTGTATATACACGTGTGTGTATATGTGTATACGTGTTTGTGTAGTGTGTGTAGTGTGTGTGTATATACGTGTGTGTGTATATACGTGTGTGTAGTGTGTGTGTATACATGTGTGTGTGTTTATATACGTGTGTGTATACGTGTGTAGTGTGTGTGTGTATATACGTGTGTGTAGTGTGTGTGTATACATGTGTGTGTGTTTATATACGTGTGTGTATACGTGTGTGTAGTGTGTGTGTTTATATACGTGTGTAGTGTGTGTGTGTAGTGTGTATATATACGTGTGTGTAGTGTGTGTATATATGTGTGTGTGTAGTGTGTGTGTACTGTGTGTATATATGTGTGTATGTACTGTGTGTAGTGTGTGTGTGTACTGTGTGTGTACTGTGTGTATATATGTGTGTGTACTCTGTGTGTGTATATATGTGTGTGTGTACTGTGTGTATATATGTGTGTGTACTGTGTGTAGTGTGTGTGTATATATGTGTGTGTGTACTGTGTGTATATATGTGTGTGTACTGTGTGTAGTGTGTGTGTATATGTGTGTGTGTACTGTGTGTAGTGTGTGTGTATATGTGTGTGTGTACTGTGTGTATATGTGTGTGTGTATATGTGTGTGTATTGTGTGTATATATGGGTGTGTACTGTGTGTATGTTTGTGTGTAGTGTGTGTGGGTGTGTGTAGTGTGTGTGGGTGTGTGTATGTGTGTGGGTGTGTGTGTATATGTGTGTGGGTATATGTGTGTGTGGTGTGTGTTTGTGTGTGGTGTGTGTATATATGCGTAGTGTGTGTGTGGTGTGTGTATATGTGTGTGTGGTGTGTTTGTGTGTGTGTGTAGTGCGTGTATATGTGTGTAGTGCGTGCGTGTAGTGTGTGTGTATATGTGTGTGTGTATGTGTGTGTAGTGTGTGTCTGTGTAGTCTGTTTATATGTGTGTGTAGTGAGTGTGTGTGTGTGTAGTGTGTGTGTGTAGTCTGTGTATATGTGTGTGTGGTGTGTGTATATATGTGTGTGTGTGGTGTGTGTGTATATGTGTGTAGTGTGTGTATATATGTGTGTGTGTGGTGTGTATGGTGTGTAGTGTGTGTGTGTACTGTGTGTGTAGTATGTGTGTGTGTGGTGTGTGTGTAGTGTGTGCGTAGTGTGTGTATATGTGTGTAGTGCGTGTGTGTGTGTAGTGTGTGTGTGTGTGTGTATTTTTTTTCTATACAGATCTACCTACATCTATTGATAGATAGAGAGACATTGTTTTTCTCTTCCGGCCCTGCAATTTATCTTGAGATCTGAGAGACAAGCTGACTTTTTTTTCAGCTTCACAGATCATTGCTACTAATCGAGGTTCTCCACGTTTCTGGATGAAGACCACTGTACTGGACAGAGGTATTTTTATCATTACAAACTAAATGTTGTCAATTTGGTCTCTCTCGCACCAATGCTATCTGTGCTGCACAGATGTAACCAACTGGTCATGATACTCAAACTTCAAAACAATTTTTTTTTCTGTATGAATACTTGCTGCAGCACATTCAGCTATGTCGATCCTTCAGGTATAATAAAAATAAAAAGCAGTTAAAATGTAGGCGTGTCACTGAAGTCAGCAGACGTTAATGTGAACTATAGATTGGAGAGCAGCTGAATAAGACGCTGCCATTTTACATCATCGCTTGTCAGAGTACAACTGCACTTTAGGGTACTGACTTGAAATATTGAAAGCAGAATAGCAGAAGTAAGATTTAAAAGGACTACAGTCTCACTAGGGATGTGAAAGGTTAAACAATTAATTTTTAACTAATGAGCCCAGTGATAACTGGTTAGCTTACTCTTTATGTTTTAGTGCTAGGTAGGGCACAATCTGGCAGGGAAGGGAATCCATGCCATGCCCCAGCAGGAGGAAAAAGGGTGGGGGAGAGGGAGAACAGCAAAGGGGACTACTAGTACCTATAGCCTCTGCGGTTAAAGAGGAAAACAGTAGGCAGCCTAATGACTCGTCAATTAAGCAATTAGTTGCTCCTTCACAGGAGCTCCCTTTCTCCCAGCATGGGGCTTTATGTAGGCTGTGCTGTTTGGCTGGGCTTGCCACCTCTGCCTCCCCACCCCCTGCTCCTCCCCTCTCCCCATTAAAGGGCCCTGGGAGCAGATCCCAGCAGCAGGTGTCTCAGAACGGCTATATTATTGGTTAACCATTTAACCAATATAGTTAGAAAAGGTTACGTGGATAACTTTTAAAATGTTCTTTACATCCCTAAGTCTCACCATGTGTTCTACTTTTATACGTGGAAAAGCATGCAGCCAACTTCTTTGTACATGTAATTTTGAGGACTAAGTTTTGCGGACCTCAAAACCTGGATGCATGTAAGTCCTGTACATTTAGAAACTGCTTAGGAAGATTTGGTTCATTCTGTCAAGTCCTTCACTGGAATTGATGAGAAGTTTTAGCCTTAATGGGGATACATTTGGCTGTTAGGTGAGGACTTCATATAGAATTATAGAAAATGATGATTGGAAGAGACCTTGGGAGGTCATCTAGTTCAACCCCCTGCTCAAAGCAAGACTACCCCCACCTAGATCATCCCAGTCAAGGCTTTGTCTAGCCGAGTCTTAAAAACCTCCAAGGATGGAGATTCCATAGCCTCTCTGGGTTATATCTACTATCAGTTTCTCCACTTTTGAGCTGTTGATCTATGAGCTGCTAATACAGTGGCAATGTTTAATATCATCTAATGTGCAATTTTTATTTCTGGCTAGCACACATGCAATGATTTCTTCTTAGAAATAATTTATTTAATCATTTAATGTGCAGTGGCAAAAATATTTTAGTAGTTTTTTCCTTCCATTAAGAAAAAGAGACACATTTCAAAATTTAAAAATCCTATAAGCAGAAGTTGTTCTCTTTCTTTGATGTTTTGCCAGTAGACATGGCAGAACTGTTTTAAGCCTAGCTAATTTAACTCTGAAGAGAGGGTATTACATATATAGCAGTAACTTTTCATGACATTTTTCTCTATGCCACAGTGTTACAGTTGACACTTCACTAGGAAATAGCAGCAGCTCAATTTATATTTACATGGTAGATTACTTAAAAGGCCCAGGGAACAGATTCAAAGACTAGGGACACTTCTTTTCCAAGTTTTGAGTCCTGTAGCTTCATTGATATCATATTGAATACCAGTTAGGCGCACACTAATCCACTGTCAATGGAAATTATATTTCTGAGAGTACTGTCTGCTGTGAAAAATGTATACTCCAGAAATGAGCTTGGGTGGCAAGGGAAAATCTGCTATGGTGTCCAACCATTTTTTTTACAAGAGTATATTTAACTCTGTAAGTTTAGTCTGGATATTGTAAGAAGGTATCCAAAGATGAAGAAGGATGCTGACAGATTGGGGGGGGGAATAACACGCTCTACCAGTGCTGTGTTGCTTCCACCTGGCTCCACAGTGTGCTTCGGGTGCTTCAGTGGGGCTTTTTGGTACTTTTAGCTAAAGCTGATTCAATCAGTTATTAGATAAAAGAGCCAAAAAAGCCCCACTAAAGCACTCAGTCTCTAAGACTTTGGGAAAGCTGGGTGCAAATAATGCACTGCCCCTTCTGGGCACATGCTGGGCTCGGCATGGGAGGGTGCTGAGTTTAAGGTAAAGCACCATTTTTTCCACCCCACATCTAGAAACAGCTGAAGTGAAGTGAAATGAGTTTGCAACAGATTACATGATGTGTTTGTCTGTGGTCAGGCCACTGCCAGTAATGCTTCTTTCTTCAGCCCTCCAATCCAAAAGTGGTTTCTGTCAGTAAGAGCACCATTTCCACCTTAAGAATATGAAAGTACTACTTTAAACTGCATTAAACCATTCCAATTAATATTAAAACATTAGCAATATAAGAACAAATGGTTACCACGTACCTATGGCATGTATGGACCGAATGCTGGCATAAAAATACAAGCAACCATCCTTCAAAATGCAGTAGTGCTGAACCCAGACATCCTTGGTTTTGTCTAGTTGGTGGAGAAGACCCAGGCACTCTGGGTTTTTGATAGCGAGGGGTGGCAGGCTCGTGTTGTGCAGGGTGACATCTACCCATACATGGTTCTACATATTTAGTAATCAAATAATTGCATGTAAGAATTTAAGAAGAACTCTGCTTTCCTTATGCAAACATGCCAGCTGAATCCCTTTCCCCCATTCTAAAAGCAACGTATTTGTACAGTGTATTAGAAGTGCAATTAAAAGCATATGCAAGACAGCAAATAGTTACTAACTTCTCCTTTTTAAAAGAATTACTGGTCTTTTTCTTCGTATATTTTGTTTAGCAGCTCAAGGTGGTGCAACTTGTCCTAAGAGGACTACTGCACTAACTGTCTGGTGACCTTGTTTCGCCTTGTTTCAGTTCAGTTTTTATGGTTTCCAAAAATAGAATGTGGAAAATTAAGGATCCCGTTCTAACCAGGGATGCTCATACACAACTGCCACTGACATCCATGAAAGTCGTAGGAGCATTTGAGGACAGAATATAAGGCTTGGGGAAAGCATTACTAAATACTTATGGTTGGCTTTCCTGTCTCATCTTGAAGGCAAAATCTTTTTGACCTAGTCAAAGATTTCCTTATTACCATTTCTGGAAGAGGATGTAAATGCCTAGGCTGCTGATAGTATTGGCCAACAAGACAGAGTAGGATTGCTGAGAATCATAAGGAAATAGACAAAAAGGGAAAAAAAGGTCAGGCAGGGGAGAGATGGGGGCAGAACTGCATTGAGGAAGATTGAACCATGAACAACATATTTTTTTCTTCTTTCCCATCTAAATGGATATTTGGAACCTAACTTCTACATCTAAGACTAGCATGTATTGTTTATATGCAGTTTAAAAAAAATTGTTCCATCAACCTGTGCCATTGTCATTTGGAGTCAGGGAGGAGAATGTTTGCAATATCAATCACATCTTGCTCTGTTACTTTTTTGTTTGATTATGTTATTTCTTCTTCATCCTTCTCGGGATGGTGAAGGGAAAAATAGCTAAAGAAATAGAGCTGAGTGTCAGCTTTTCTGTGAACTGAAAATGTTCTCTCTTGCTGAGGAGAGGAATGCAGTATTATGCATACAAGAAAGGAATGTAGTGCATTAGTGGAAAAGACCCCCTTATTTATTAGGAGGACAAAGTGTCATTGAATCAGTATGTTGAGCAAGAGTATTAATGATCAGGAGAAGCACAGTACTGCTGGGGTATCATGAATTCTGCAGCTTACTCCAAACCAGTGGGGGTCAATCTTTTTGACAGGTATGCCACAAATTAAGCCCTCTGTCCTCCAGAGTATTTTCTAAACCCCTTCACCTACCTGATCTGCTGCTCTGCTTCCTGTTCCCTGACCTGTTCAATCTTCTGCTCTGTTTTCTGCTCCCTTCCCTATCTGCCACCATGCTGCCTGCCCCCTCCCCGATCTGCCATGTGCCACACATGAGGATGCCCATGCCACTTGTGGCATGCATGCTGCAGGTTGGCCAAACCCTGTTCTAAAGTTTCAGTTACAGGACCCTGGATAGCATTTTAAGGAACAAATAAAGAAGTTTTGGTCTAACTAAAAATGAATGTAGAAAGCAAGTAACTAAAAAAAAAAAAACCTGGAAGAGGAAATCATTGAAAAATATTAATTAATAGAATAAATTACATGCTTAAATAGATACAGACCCCCCCCACCCCAATTCCTCCAGAAATGACTGTTGTGTACTTAGAGATGAAACAGTTGAAGACAGGCATTCAGTAGCTTAGAAAACAAGTCAAATAAATTACTGATCACGTTGGTAGTGGCTGAATCAATGTAAGATCTTTTGGATAATAGGTATTAAGAGGACTTTTTCACATAAATGGTATCCAGTTAATCCAAAAAAGAATGCTGGGAGGTAGAGAAGTATGACTGACACCATTTTATAGATGAGTGAAATGAGACACAGAAAGGTTAAGTGAGTTGCCTAAGACCTCACATTGTGTCAGTGGCAGAGATAAAAACAGAACTGAACTCAGGAGTCTCCATGTCTCCCAATCCCATGCTTAGTCCACTAGAGAAGTCTGCTTCTCAAATAAGAAAGAATTACCTGTTGGATTGGATGCACAGCTTTATCCATGGCTTCTAACCACCTACAAAATGAGCAAAACAGAGAATAGCTCATCTTGGTAGAATGGAATAAATACACTTGAAAAAGTTTTAATTTTGGCTGAAATAAGAATGTTTCAGAGAGAAGTACAGTGTTCAGGACAGGCTAAAGCTTGGAAACAAACACATACACACATGCATGTGCACACAATGCACTATTATCTAGATTGGCATTAGTAACTATGGGCAAAGATATATTTTGCCTCTTGCTGGATGGCAAATTATCCTAAGTAGAGCAATGTAACAGGGGATATCCATAAACACTTGTTTGTAGACTAGACTTTATCTGTTAGACAAATTGTTAGTACTTCCTAGTTCTTTTTTAAAAGACTGGCTAGGGCTTAAAGGGAAACTTTAAACGGCTGTCACAAACTGGGTATTACAAAATAAAGAAACTGTAACAGAGTTTTCCATTTGAGCAGCATTCTGGCTTGGTCCCATCATGCATTGCTACTTTTATTTTTAACTAGTGGGGAGGTGCTTGGATACTATGAGAATAGGTGTTCTGTAAGTGCTCAGATATAAAAATAGAAGGATGGATGAGTCAGGCCATATCAAATATCACCCTTGTCTATATCTTTGCACTTCCAAAAATACAGGAAAAAGGAAAGGGCAAAGAAAATTTATTTTCAATGCATTGTGTCTGCACTGACAGTGGATACTAGATTGGCCTAAAATGAGTCAGAGGGATTCAAAGTACTGCTTAAAAACCACTACATACATCTTTTTCTAGTAATAATTTAAAATCCTTGGTGAAAGCAAAAGGAACATTATTAAAGGCTCCCTAAATGAGGGACAAAACCAATCTAGCTGTCACTGTTCCAACAAAACCTATAATCAGGCCCAATGTGCTCTTGTAATGTGTTAAAGTTTTAAAATGGGGAAATAATGTTACAGAGAAAGCAGAAGTGCTTTTGAGAAAAGAGACTTTGCTTTTTCTTTTAAGTTCTGCTGGGAAAAATATTGTGAGGCAAAATAACTACTTCTAGCTACTTTGGTATGAAATAAAGGATAAATTGGCAAAGAATCAGGAACTGATTTCAATTTACTTTAAATATAGGGATAAGGGGAAGAGAGTTAAGAATGTGGACAGACTTCTTTTCTGGAGAGATCACAATTTGATAAAGATGCTATTTGTTATGCTTTCATGAAATCCTAAAGAGAGGAAGAAAGCCAAAAAAAAATCTTCCCTTACATAGGTGACTAACAAATGTCCTTTTAAAATTAATCTTTATGATAGGTTTTGCACCAAAACAAAATGTGTGTGTGTATCAAAACATTTTAACAATACAATAAGATTTTTTACCTTTTCATCTCTTGGTTTGAAGTTGCACAGAAGTGGAAAATCCTGTTTCCATTTTGAGGTATGCACTTAAACACAAATGGTTTCCCCAGGCTGGTGTCCATGCCAATTTCTGCCCCTTCCAATTTTGTCACCTCCAGAGGTCTGCACTTTCCTTCATCCTATAATTGATGAAGTAGAAGCTAAGGAAACTTACAGCACAGCATTGGGAAACTGAACTGGTATTGGGAAATGGCCAGGCTTTAGCTATTGTAAGGAAAGATGCACATGGATGTTTACTGTCAAGCTGGTGCCTTTGAAAATATCCCACTAATTATTATTTAAAGCTGGAAGGTCCAGAAAACATGTGCAGTAGATTTGCTAAAGACAGATATTTGAAGTCTCTTATTGGAGATTCGTATTTGTCTCTGCAGGTTTGTACACACTACCTTTTTTTTTCCCTGGGAAAAGTGATTTTTGAGTGTATGTCCTCCATTTCCTGCTTGTATATGATTCAGGTTGAGGGATAGAAGTGATTAAGAATGGCATTTTCAAAAGCACCATCATGATTCAGGAGTACCTGTTACTTCGACACTCGGTGTGCATTTAACTCTTTACTTGCTTTACTCCTTTGAAAATCTCACCTGGAGCATGCAGATCTAAAGCAGATATTTGTGCTCACAGAATTCTGGGCATAAATTAACAGACTGGATTGACCTTTTTTTGAAAATTTATCCTAAATATCAATTTATACAGAATTTTCTTTGTTGTTTTTGGGCAACGTTCAAGATAGCCTATTTCAAAGGTTTTTATTATAGACTGGTTTAAACATCTTTGAAACTGGAGGGCATAATCAATGTTGTTCATTTAAGAGAGTTGTAAGAAGCTATTTAGTTCCTAAACGTTATCAGGTTGGTGAAACAGTAGAAGCATCACCCAAAACACAAGTATCTATCACTGCTCAAAGCAAAGCTGCATGTCAGACATATAGGAGTACTGGCTTGGCTGTGTTTTTAAACTCCTTTGCTTTTAAGGAGTGCTCCTGAAGCAGTGGCTATTGCTTCCTATTGAACAATGATGAGGGAATAATTACACTGTCCATAGATGATGGTAGTGAGTACTGCAGTGAAGCACAGCAGCCTGCTCCATGTCCACTGCACTCTGAAGGGATGTAGTATAGCCACCCTTACTGCAGTGCTGAGTGCACCAATAGGCATGCCTGAGACAGAGAGCTTGTTGGTTACATGACACATTTTTTCAGGGTATTCCACACACAGACTAGGTATGCTGTGTTTCACTACATTTCTCTCTACCAGAGTCCATTGATGGCATAAACACACTTTTACTGTCGGAACATGTAGACAGCAGTAGCGCTATTTGCAAAGCGCATAAAAACCCTCTTTTACAGAACAGAACTAATGAATGACTCTGAAATCCAACAGGCTCTAGCAGTAAGGACCAAACTTCAAAACATTTGAGAGATGCTTTTGCTGCTCCT